ATTTTTATAAAATATAAAAATAAAATTTAAATATTAAAAAAATATAAAATAAGCTTAAATAACAAAATTTGCAATTTACAAAAAAGAGTTTTCCGCGGGATGTGAATGAGTATTCCGCAGTCGGTAGCGCCCGACTGCAACGTTCTTACTTGTTTATTCTGTTCAAGTACACAGTTCAGTGAACCGGTTTACAGACACCGTTATGAGAGAGTTTAACATTTTGTATCTTCACAATGTCGTTTGATATTTACCCAAACAGAGTTAATCGGTTTGTAGAGTATTGTATAAATATCAGACTCTCACTTTTATGTAAACGTTTGCTTAATTCGCCCTCCAGCTAGTTCGCTTTTTGTTTTCTTTTTGTTATATTATTTAACAATATATTAACTACGCCTCACATTAAAGTGAACTGGAATTCCAAGCTGGGCGTTCACCAAATGCCGCTTACCAAACGTTTATAGAGGAATAACAACGGTCGGTCGATCGATCGCCTAGTCCGTAGCTAAGACCAATTGAGTTTACACTATTTCTGTGTGTGTGTGTGGCCCATTAGAGCGCAATTTCGGTGTAAAGGCCTTGGCTTCTGGCGCAATCTATCCGTAGTCCATAAGTATGTTATAATATATGTGAATCAATATTACAGTCTTATCCCAGTATTGTGAACTGCGCTGCAATGCCAGTGCTTACCTTTGCATTTCCACTGACCCATATATAAGTAAAGTTAAAGTTAAACTTAAAACTTAAAAAATTCCAAATTAAGAATACAAAAGAAAGTAACATGCACAAGCGCAAACTGTTAACATCACACTGTTAATAATATTCTCTAAATACTCGATCAAAGCAAAAGAAAGTAACATGCATAAGCGCAAACTGTTAACATAACACTGTTAACAATATTCTCTAAATACTCGATCAAAGTATACAAATGTTCGCACATGTAGGGAAATTAACCAGTTCACTCATCAACACACACATTTCTTAATGTAAGCCATTCAATTCGAGAAATTTGATAACTTTCGACATGATTGCGCAATCAAATCCAAATTACGTCTATAAATATACATATACACATACATAGGCTGGTTGCTATAGCGCGTTTGTTTGCGTTTTGTGTATTAACGCATCTATGTCAGCTCTTTCAATGTCAATGCAATTGCAAGCTCGCTGCACACACACACACACAGGCGTCCATACGTCAGGCTCAAGGCCAAGCTGGCCAGCATACATATGCATTACTCACATGCAAACATATAAATACACTCACACACACAAATAGTGTTGCCAAACGACGCAAACAGCTGCTGTCTGTCCCCTTGGCTTGGCATAATAACCGTTAGGCGCCACACAGCGACGTCATTACTCAACCCACAAAAAAAAAGTGGGTGCGCCATAGACGAGCCCACAAGGATGCCCCGCTACCCGCGGCTATCCCCTCGTCTCATACGAAACGAAAATCTGAAAAGCTAGCGAATGAAACTTGTTTCTGCCGTAGTTTTCAGCAGGTCTCCTTTTTGGCTGCGCATTCGCATTGCTCGCGAGTTGTCGCGCCAGTTGATATTTGCGTAACATGCACGTACACATAACTGTAAATATCAGATCATAATGTTACAATGGTTTAACAGCTGCTAATTATTTCGGCTGCGTTTATATATGTGTGTACATATATTTCCACATATACAAACATATATGTACATACATATATATATTTATATCTATTTTTTTAAGGTGCCCAATGACTTTCACATTGCTGGATCGAGTCATTGAAGTTTCTTATTTATTTTAAGCCTTTGTCACATTTATTTACACAAAACTTGACCCAGATTTGCAAGTGCAACTCTTTTATTTTTTGCATTGTTCGCTGATCATGTGTCCAATAGACGTTATTGAACTGATTAAAACAGAGTATAGAGAGCTCTGTTATCAGCTTATTGTTGTTGTTGTTGTGCTTATTGAAGATTTGGTCTAAGGAATTTGTGATTATAGTTGATGGCAAGGCTGAAAAGTGGAACTGGTTCAATATGGTGAACTGAATTAAAGGTGGAATAAACATGGAAGACCAATTGATTCAAGTAAACCAAATTGTAGTAATTAGCTAAACTCATAGCTTACATACGTTATTATGCAGCCCTGGTTTGATCTTGCTCCGTTAACAGTGATTTACAACTGGGCCACTTGCAATTCGAAGATTTTTTGATAATAAAATACTTTCTATATATCGCGCCAAAGATAAGATTGTTTCTTGTTGTTGTAATCAATAAAAGCTATTAGAATAATTATTAGTATATTTTCATATTTTATATAAAGTTATGAATGCCCTCTAAAGATATATAAGAGGTATAAAAGAGAAGCTTTTTAGAAATTGTTAGTATTTCATATTATTTGAAGAATGTTGCTTAAGTTGGAAACATTTATATATATTTATATTAATTTATTATTAGTTTTACTTTCACTTTCTGCCGCTGAATGGGATTTATAGACAGATATGCATATTAAAATAGCTCTTGAAATGAGTACAAATATATAGAAATATTTTAAAAGTAAATTACTAATTGGTGTCAGAGTCAAGTAGTCGATAGCGATATCAATGCGCTGTCGTGTTGGGTTCACACAAAATCCTTCGATTTAAGCGTGGAAAATTTTGTTTACAGAAAACACGTTTGCCTCTGCGTCGGTGTCTGCGTCTGTGGCTCATGAAATTTTCCATAATCGCAAATTAATGAATGCAAAAAGTGGCAGCCAGCCAGCGCCAGTCGACAGTCGCCGGCGATCCAAGAATATTTCTGTTGCAGTTGTCATTGCACTTGAATTTGGTGGCGAAAAACCAGTTTGAGCTTGACTTTTAGCATATACTTAAAATTTTATTTATTTATAGTATATATCCATATATAATTGTCTGTATATGTATATATATAGATATATTCTAATTTATATTATTTAAGCCTATATATAGAGAAAATTTACTGCCAAAAGTGGAAGCAACGCCCACTACCGCATCCGCATAGGAAATGATTCGACCTAGTTTAACCTTGAATTGACGACACGTGCTTCACATTTAAGCTGTTTATATTGTATGTACCCTGCAGTTGTCTACCGTGAATGGGGTAGATTGGTTTTGTGCATGGAATGCAATATAATTTTAATTGAAAATAAATATAAAAATACAATTTTACAACAACTTTTATTTATAAATAACTTGAGCTAAGCCATAAATAAGGTTAAGAGTATCTTCTAGTCCATCACATTCCTTTGAATCTGTCTGACATGTTCCCAAAACTCATTTACTCCACAGAAAACAATATTGGACAGCATAGCGCAGGAGGATGACAGCTTCAAGGGCGACGGCTACACCAGCCTGGCCATACTCTACCTATTCTTTTCGCTCTCCAATTGGCTGGCGCCGTCCTTCATCTCGTTTACAGGACCTCGCGTGGCGATGGTTGTGGGCGCTTCCACCTACACGTAAGTCTTAGATGAATATATTGAGATGGTGTATTGACCCATTATACTATTGCTGCAGCCTCTTCATGATCACCTTCTTGTTCCCATCGACTGCGCTGCTGTATGTGGCGAGCGCTGTGCTGGGTCTGGGCGCCTCGATCACCTGGACGGGTCAGGGCACCTATTTGGCTCGCTGCAGCAGCTCTGAGACAATTTCACGCAATTCGGGCATCTTCTGGGCGCTGCTGCAGTGCAGCATGTTCTTTGGCAACCTGTTCGTCTACTACCAGTTCCAGGACAAGACGCACATTGACAAGGAGACGCGCAATCTGGTCATTGGCGTGCTGACCATTGTGGCCATTTTGGGCATTGTATTTTTGGCTGCCTTGCGCTTCATGGCCAGCAATGCGGAGCAGGACAATGAGCTCGAGGAGCAGCACACGGGCTGCGGCCAGGCGCTCTATGCTCTGAAGCTGGCCGGCAAACTGTTTTGCACCAAGAAAATGCTTCTGCTCAGCCTGGCGTTCTTCTACACAGGTGAGGATGAGGAGGATGATTTATCATAATATGATTTTCATTCTAAACTGATGTCTTTTTGCTTTTAGGTCTAGAGCTTTCGTTCTTCAGCGGCGTGTTCGGTTCGTCCATTGGCTTCACCTCGAAAATAGCTTCGACGCCCAAGGAAATTGTCGGCCTGGTGGGCATCTGCATTGGCGTCGGCGAAGTCTTTGGCGGCGGCTTCTTTGGCATTCTGGCGTCGAAGACGACTCGCTTCGGTCGCGATCCCATTGTGATTGCCGGCTATGTGATGCACATGGCTGCCTATTTGATGACATTCCTCAATTTACCGAATAGCGCACCGTTTACAGATACCACCGATATATCGTATTTGGACCCACCTAGTGCCTCGATGGCATTGGTGTGCGCCTTTCTGCTGGGTCTGGGCGATGCCTGCTTCAATACTCAGGTCTATTCCATGCTGGGCGGCGAGTTCGTCAACAATCCGGTTGGCGCATTCGCCCTCTTCAAGTTCACGCAGTCCGTGGCGGCGGCCATCAGCTTCTTCTATTCCTCGCACTTCGGCCTCTACATCCAGCTGGCCATTTTGGTCATCACTGGCACCATTGGCACGGTGTCATTTGTTATTGTTGAGTGGAGCTTTAAGCGGGAGCATCGCGAGCAGGAGAAGTAGATGAGGGCGTCGCTTGCGGAGTAGCTTAATTCATGAATGCTGTTTGTATTTAAGTTTAGTAATAGTATTGAAAGATATTGCTTAAGGTAAAGCACGCTTTTGTGTATGTGTAATGTTTGTTAAAAAAAAACCCTTCGTGCGTGCATTTGCACGTGCGCCGGCGTCTTCCTATACATATACAATAATAGTTAATTTGTTGATCGCTAATGTTGCTATATGTATGAATGTATGTATGTATTTTAATGTTGAACTCCAAAAAGTATTCGTAATGATTAGCTGTAAATGTTTTTTTTATATGATATGTATATGTTTATAAATGTGTTTATTTATTTTAAGCACAAAAGTACACGTGCAATTGTAAATTGATATTGTCTACAATTTGCATTTACAGTGCAATTATAAATATATAATATATATGTACGTATTTGAAGACACTTGTTTCATTTTATGCTTGATGGGAAATTTCGAAGATAATTGATTTAAAAGCGCTCGTTGAAAACTAAAGGTTAAAATGAATTCATTCAAATTTTCTATAAAGCCTTTTAATAAATCGCGTAAAAACTGTTACAACTATATTTTAAATTTGAACGAAACCGCGCAACCGTACTGAGCGCTGTCCAGCACTGGTTTTACTTGCTGAATTTTCGTTATGTTTTCGCTGCCGTTTCGTTGTGTCGTTCAGTTTCTGTTTCATTTTGGCGTCTCGCATTAGTTGTCGAGCAACACTTGTCGAGAGCAGACGTGTTGTATCGTGTCGCTGCGCGAAGCTATTGGGTACGCATTGCGGGTGTTTGTGTTGACTAATTGCGAATAAAACTACTGAAAATCGGTGGAAGCTACGACAACAACTGCCGCAAAAGCCATTGAATGGATTCAATAATAAATATCGTGTAGAATTTTAAGTTGACGCTGCGTGTATGTGTTTGTGCGTGTGCAAAACAAGAATGGCAAAAAGCAAAAGCAGCTTGCAGATGTGTGTGCGTGTGTGTGTTTTTTAAATTGCTATTAACGCTAGAGAATTAGCATTAAATCATTAAGCAGTGCCTATAAAATATTTGAAGCGGCACAGGCGAAGGTACAACTGCATTTCAATTCAGCGGCGATTGCAACGCGTAGGTAACTTTAATAATTAGTAATATTTTTAATGTGAGTGCTCTCCATGTGTGTGTGTGTGTCGAAACCTTGAGAAATTTGTTTGGTATGTGAGCCAAGTGCCAGCATAAAAACAAAAGCAATTCCAATTCAAACTCATGCAGGCGCAACAGCAGCACCAGCAGCAGCAGCTGCCTCAGCTGACAGTAGCAGTAGCAGCGGCAGTGGCAGCGGCAGCGATGCGGCAGAATCGCTACGCCTACGCCAGCGACGACGTCATTTGAACGCATTTCGCTTTTCATTTTGTGTTTGTCGTCTGCTGTTGTATGGAATAGAGAGGGAAGAGAGGGGGGCACATTCGTGCAAGCAACTCGATAGTTGTCTCTCCCAGAGCAAAGTGTGTCTCATGTATGAGTGCATTTGCCTGTGTGAGTGTGTATTTGTGTGTAACTGCTCCTTGGGCGCTTTTGCTTGGTCATCGCTGCTCTTACGTTTTTCCGTCTCCGTTAACGTCTGTCTCTGTTTCTCCTTTCATTCATTTTCTTCAATTTATTGAATGCTCTACGCTTGGGTCAACAAACCAAATGACTCCAACTTGGTCTTTGTTTGTGTTTGCGTTTGCGCTGGTATTTGTCTCTCTCTTCACTTCTATTTAGCCATTGATCGCGTCCGGTGATTTGATCAGCGTCGCAGTTGCCTTTTTCACTTTACGTTGTTTTGCTTTTATTGGTGTCATTAAAAATGCTTGTATGGGAAAGGTCAATCACATAAATACACATATGCGCTGCGTCCCTGAACCATTAGAAAATATAACCGGTTCTATTTGTATATCTAGTTTACAAAGTAATCAGGAGTAGACTATGCTAATGTTAATGTTAATACTTAGCATATGCTTGTAAGCATTCCTGTAAATATTAAAAATATATATATATATATATAAAATATATCTTCCGATAATTGCAGCTCTCTCTTATACAATACAGTTTGACAGTCATTGAGCTTTCTTTAACAGAGTATTGCGCTGTTGGTAGATTCCAATAGCACCACACACAGCATGCCCATTGAAACTAAACTTCATTATCATTCAGTTTGGCATTTCGTTTTTTATTTTTTTCTCTCACCCATGATATTCATCTTCGTCTGTTTTTCTTTGGCGACATGCGCTTTTCTCTTGGCTCCGTGTCAATAGCCTAGAACTTGAGCGAAAATAGAAAGAAACGCCATAATAGATATTTGCCAGTAATGAATGTGCTTTTAGTTTTTGTTGTTGCTGCTATTGGTGCTGCTTCGGTTCGGTTTGGTGCGGCTCTCACCTTGCGGCCAGCTAATCAGGGCCAACTCAAAAGCTAAACAAAAACAAACCAGAACTAAACAAACGTCAAGCTTGAACGCGCTTTTTGTTGTCATTGGTGTTAATTTGGTTGGAGGAGTCATAACACCTCTACTCGTGTCTGTCTCTCTGCTGCTGTCCGTCTTCTACTGTCTTAATTTATTAGCCTATTCAGTGCGCAGGCGAGATTAGATTAAGGTAGAAGCGAAGCGAGAAGTCGACGCTGATATACCCATTAGCTAGTTAAAATAATACATATATGAATTCTAATGATATATTATTTCTGTTAATTTTGTATTGCGATTCATTAGGTGCGAAGATAACAGATCCTGAAATTAAACATCAAGTACTAAAATATGTTAACCTTCCACGAAAATGTTATTTAGCATTGTCAAATTTAAAACTTAACAGAGAATTCAGTTTCAACTGGTGTTAGTAATAATAACATTACCGCGAGTTCCCACAACTGTAGTTAACAGTAACATGTTAACTAATGAAATTTCTGTTAGTGTATATATAGCTCTCTGCTATTGAAAGTGCATACTTCAAAATTATTATCATAGATGCAATATATTAAGTCGGATGCAATATAGTCGCTGATAAAGTCCACTTTTAGCCCTACTTGTTATTTAGTGCCACCCACTTATCATCAAATTGTACTTAACATTTTTTCGTTATCGCTAATTTAATTAATCATCAGTTCCCAAAGTTGTTGTTGGCTTTAATGATGTTGTTGCCATTGTTGTTTTTGTTGTTGTTGCTGTTGCTGCTGTGGTTGTTGCGCCTTTCGCTGAGCTCAGCGGCAAAGAAAAGAAAAAACTTAATTCACTTTCAACTTGAAGTTGACTAGTGAAGTGGCAAGGCCTTTTGCCGGTACGTTAATAAAAAATGGCAACAATAACAAGCCCATTCGCGGCAAAGTCAACTTTTTCGCTCGTTAGCGCTTGTACAGATACAGATACAGATACAGCCACAGCCACAGATGCAGACAATATAAATGTGTGTATCTTATAGATACTTGTACTTAACGGGCAAACGTGTCGTCTCACGACTCGCTCCCTCTCACTACTTTCCTCCCCTCTCTCCCTCTCTCTCTCTTTTTCTCTTCTTCTTCTTTTTGGCTTTCTTGTTAGTTTTTAATTTGTTTTCGCCTTGCATAGATTTTGGCATTGGCAGACCCACACACAGGCGGCTTTGTATCTGAGTATGTAAGTATCTTTGTATCTGGGCATCGTTATCTGTGTAACGAGCGTGGCAAATGCAAAGCATCGCTTGGCATTCGTTGCGCCTACTTTGGCGCTGTGATCAAGCTGCTTTTTTTTTTGGCACTCCAAAGATAGACACTTGTATCCAGCAGATACATTTGTATCTTGCACTCTGTGGCCGCATAATTGCAGCTAGCGAAGCGGTAAAGCATAGCGGCGCTCTGTTAATTCTGTTACAGAACCAAACCAAACCGAACCGAACCGAACCGATCCGAGCCCAGCTGGCAATGCACATGTAAATTTCCTTACAGCTAACGGCCTGGCAATTATGCTGTCATAAATGAGTGAAGCAGACGCCGAAGAAGAAGCACAAGAAGAGCAAGAAGAAGAAGCAGCAGCAGTAGCTACTACATTAAAACAAGCCAAGCATTCAAGTTTGTTAATGGCATGCAAATGTTTCTGGCCAACAACTTTCTCAGACATTAAGACACACACTAAAAAAAAAAAAACAAAAAATGATGCACTTAAGCCCATTAGACTAATGATGCAGTCACATTTACATACATATTTATGTAGTTGTGTGTGTGTGTGTGCAAAGAAACCCTATCTACATTAGTTGGACAGTTAACAGCTAACTAAGCGTTAGCAAGATCGTTAACAAAGGTGCTGAAGAAGCTGCTAAACATTTAAGCCATCATTAATTTGAAATGCATTAGAAAATATGTGTTATAGGTATAGAAATATATATTCATCATCTGATGCTGACTATCCAATTATTTATTGTAGTTTTTTATTTATATATTTAATTTTAATTTATCAGCTAATAAACATAATATTTTTAAATAGTTGAACAAATGAAATGTAGTAAATGAGATTGCTTAAATTAAATTAAATTTATTAAATTTACATTAGTGTAAAAATAGTTTAGACTTAACAAACTTTCAACTTTAAATTAAGTTTCAGGTTTTCAAAATTAAATAAAGTTTCCACACTCCAAAAACTATATAATGACCCAAGCAATTGTATATAAACAGCTTTGATGGTCCACCTTAAGGTGTTTGTATTTCAAGCCATAAACCAAATTGTGTTTAAAAATTAGTATTAAATAAATTAAATTGTGGAAAGTTTACCATAAAGGCAAGCCAAGTTTTATTTGCAAGCCAAGCAACTAAGTGGATTAGAAGTTGTGCAAGCCCCCACATGATCTAGATATATGTTATCTAGATATTGTTGCC